CAGATGTACAGTGAACTCCAATGCACATTAGGTGTTCCCAATATCTATCTGGACAACAGCTAGTGCCTGAGAATGCACATCAGTAGAGCCTGATATGTGTCAGGACAGTGCCAATTCACATTAATAGATCCCAACGCATATCAAGCACTGTTGCTGATGCTCTGACACAGGTCTTTACAATTCACTAGTAGGGTTCTGTAGCCCCTCTCTGTTATATAGCTAAGTATGTGTAAAGTTACACAACATGGCCTACAGTATAGAATCAGAGTCAATATGTTAGGGTTGGGCAGAAACAGCAAAAAGTTCTGTAGCACCTCAGAGTCTAACAAATTTATTTTAGTATAACCTTTTATGTAAGAAGTATTATCCAGAATTTATTAATATAATACAATGCCCACAGCTGGATGCAGGCAGTTGTAGAAGAATTCATTAGACTGTTAGAAAATCCTAACAGTGATGGTGACACTGGCCATTCAGAAAACTGTTACATACAACATTTTCCAAGATTTTTCATTTCTTTTAATATTGGCCATATCTATACCTCCAGTACTGGGGATCATATATACCTTAACATCAATGGCTAGGCAACATGAGTGGCATGAATAGATTCATATTTATGTGAGTTTCTCAATGTGGCACAAGGTTGGCCACTGTAGAAACTGAGCACTGGACATTGGCATGCCCAGTACCATGAAATTATGGGGAGTGACTTCCAAACATTTGGAAGGCACCGAGGGCAGAATTGGGACAATGAAAGTTTACTGTTGGAGATAGAAGTGGAGAGTAGTTAAGTTCTGTTTATGTACATTTTAAAATTCTCTCTCAAATGGAAGCCATCTTTTCCAATGTTTAGTATTGTAATAGAAGCAGCGCTCATAGAGTCAAAGTTCTGGGCATTATTGATTAGAAAGGAATAACACATCATCTGCTACCCATCTGCTTAGGTTTCTTTGTTCAATGTGTTTTAGCTGTAATCCTCTAACTGGAATTCACTGTATCCAGTACAAAACATTGCTATCAGTTATCCCTACCATATAGCAAAATATTTTGGGATGGCTTCCTGCAGAATGGGCAATCAGGATCCATTAGCTTCCAAAAGACACGACCTGGTGTAAATTAAAACTTCTAGGACTTGTCTGCTGATATGACTCAATGCGCTGCTTGCATTTTTGCACTCTCCTCAAGGTCATAGCTATTGTGTCCAAATTCACCACTAAGCTACTGCCTTTTTGTCTGGAATCTGGCAAGCTTTATACCTTGAAAGGCTGTTAAGGAGACTGGCAATTTCATACCTTTTGGGTGGGAAACATCAAAGTTACAGCTGGTATTGAAGGCTTAGGAGGTTTATAGGATGTGCACCATCTTTGTGTGTATATATGTGCCTCCAAGACACCTGCTGACTTGTGATGACCCCATGGATTTCATAGGGTTTTCTTAGAAAAGAAATGTTCAGAGGTAGTTTTGCCAGTTCCTCTCTCTGAAATATAACCCACAGCACATCTTTGCCTGATTCTAAAATTTATCAAATTAAATTTGATGAATCTGGTGAATAAAGCATAGATTGCCATATCTTACCTTTTTACTGGCACATTCTTGACATAGCTGAAAGAGACCAAGAATTGCTGATACTATGCTGGTGTCATTATTGTGGCTTGGAAGGGAAAGGAAATATGTGTGTGCACGCACATGCGTGTTCATCTTAAAGTGTCCTGTCAATTTATGATGCCCCCAGAAATTTCATAAGGGTTTCTTAGGCAAGGAATACTCAGAGGTGGTTTTGCCAGTTCCTTCGTACAGCACCTGGTATTCTTGGTGGTTCTCCATCCAAGTACTAACCAAGAATGACCCCCTTTAGGTTCCAAAATCAAACAGAAACAGGTGCCTACAGCAACATACAGTATTTTAAAACTGACTTCTGACTCCACTGTTTTCCAGTAGAGGGTAATGTTTCACTATAAATGAAAAAAGCTCCCTATCCCTCTCACCAACTGTGGCTGAAGAGGATAAGGAAACCATGAAACACAGCAATCTCTGGAGTGATGTTATGGGAAGTAAAATGCTTATTATATCTATGCAAAATGAGTAGAAGCCATATTTATTTACACTTAACAAGAGTCCAATTTTCAATGTCACCCACACATCAGTAGATGGAGTAGTCTGAGCCCACAATTCAAATGTAGTCTAGAAGCTGTATCCAAACCAATGAACACAAAACACAAAACAGGAGCACATGGTCCTTCAGTTGTTGGACTGCAACTCCCATAGTTCTACACTGTCACCTATAAGGAGTCAGGCTGATGGGAACTGAAGTCCAACAACAGTTGGATAGCTACATGTTTTCCATACCTGCTGTAAGAATGTTTAAAAGTGTGTGCAAATTAAAGAGTTTGAAGATGTACTGATTGAAAAATCACAGATTTTATTCTTGTTCTTTCCATTTTTTTATTATTATTTATTTTATTTTCTTATTCCACCTTTCTCCCAATACAAGGACTCAAGGAAAGTTAAAATAAACTGCCCTGGGGACCTTGTATAGCAGGGACCAGCAGCCTACGGCCCGGGAGCCGGTTAAGGCCCCGGGCCCCGGACTTACCAGACCAGGCCGAAGGTTGCCGCTGCTGCGCGCCACCGCCGCAGCGCATTTTTGTTGCTCTGTGGCCGCGCTCGCCATACTCGCCATTTTGGAAAACAAAATGGCGGTCGCAACGCATTTGCGCATGTGCAGTACTCTTGCACATGCGCAAACGCATCACGGCTGCCATTTTTATTTCCAAAATGGTGGGCGTGGTAGCGGCTGCAGCTGTAGCATGCGCGGGGGGGTCACGCACGGCGGTGGAGGGTGCACACGCTGCGTGAGCACGCATGCCACCATTAGCCCCCCCCCCTCAGCCCAGCCGAGACCTGGGCTATGGGAGACCGGCCCAGGTCTCAGAAAGGTTGCCTGCCCCTGTCGTATAGTCTCTGATCATATTGATCAGATGACAGAAAATAATCTGGAATAAACAAAACATGTATGGATCTCTAAAATAAAAGAAAAGGAACAAAATCTGGGACTTCTAGGACTTTTTATATCATTCTGGATGTGTCCTGAATTGCAAAAAAAGGAAACCCTAATTTATTGAGAGTACTAAGGATGGACTTTTGACATGTATTTACGACACCCATGTCATATATTTATGATTGTTAATTCCTGATCCATTTAAATTTTAATATCCATCCAAACAAAACAAAACAAAACAAAAGGAGTAGGGCTATGAATAAGAAAAGCAAGAAACAAGTAGGTGCACATTTGTACTCTCCTAGAAAGTATTTATAAATAAATTTTGCAAGATTCTTTAAAAGGAGCAGGCTTTTTCTGGGTATTTTTTTAAAAAAAACCTTCCTGTGATCAAACAAATCATGAATCTTCATGAAGCCTAATGATTGCTCAAACAAAATAGAGAAAGTGTTCCAACTGATAATATAATAGCAGTCAGTTCTTACTAGTGGAAATAGTGAAATAGTTATGCACTGTGCATGCAATGATATAAATAAACAGATACAACTATTTTATATATATATTATTCAGTTCATGTCACTCATGGCAACAAATCAGTGGACTCAAAGAAAAAGATAAAATGTGTTGAATTCTTATTTCAAGGAGGGAAGAGGAATTTGTGGTGGAAAGTTAGCAAGCAACTTTGGCTGAAAGGAAAGGGAAATTTTCTGAGGGTATTTTTTCCACCAGAAAATTGATTAAGGGCCTTTTGGCCTTGTCTACATGGGTTTTTACTTCAAATCCCTCTTCTCTGGACTTACTGCATCTAGTTTACATGATATAAGGCCAAAACTCCAAGTTAAACACAGACTGCCTTCATGATTTCTATACTCAGTTTGGGCTTGCCTCCCCTTAACCCAAATTTAAAAACCTTACATGTTACTCTAACAAATAATGAATCTTCAGGCTTTTAAGTCTCTCCACAGTGATGACAGGCAGCTACCTTCCCCCTGGTCCCTGCGAGCCACTCAGTGACACTGAAGCAGGTACAAGTTGCTCTAAGCTCAAAATGAGGTGCCCAGCATCATGGGTGCCTCATTGTGATCTCAGTAGCAGCTGACAAATGGGATTGTGTGGGAAGGCAGCTGACATTGTTGTTGCAGAGATACCATAAGTAACAGGAGAATTTGGGGAGAATTTGGGCAGCCCAAAGTATTCTGGCTAGTGTAGGTAAGTTCTTTGTAGCACCATCAGAAGTGTTTTATAATCAATTGAGAGTACCAAAAGGTCATGAGTTCAATACCAGCCAAGGGCTCAGGCTCAACTCAGGCTCGATCCTTCCAAGATCGCGAAAATGAGTACCCAGTTTGTTGGGGGCAAGTAGTTTATACATTGTAAACCGCTCAGGGAGTGCTTAAGTGCACTGATAGGCAGTACAGAAATGTACTTGCTACTTGCTATTGCTACAACCATATTCCCACCACACAAGAATAAGTTCCACTGAACTTAATGGGACATATTTTGGAGTAGGCTTATATAGAAAAGCATTCAGTGTTTTAGGAAACAACTGAAATTGACATATTATGTGAGGGAAAACTGATATGCTTGGATGACATTTAAAACTCACCTTTAAAAGAGATTTTAAAAAAATAATTTCCCTTTTTGAAATAATTTGTGTGATTAAAAATAGGAACATAAGCAGGGAGCTAAAGAGTACAGCAGTTAAAAAATATTTGCTTTAGCCTGGATTATATCATGGCAGAGAATTATATTACTTCCCAAAGCCTTGAGATTTTGGGGGAAATGGACCATCAAATGAGCCATCAAATAGTAATAGACCATCATTTCTCAATCTCTACATGTTATTGTTGATGTGTGCCTTTAAGTCATTTCTGACTTATGGTGACCCTAAGGTGAACCTATCATGGGGTTTTCTTGAAAAGATTAATGGGGAGAGGTTTGCCATTGCCATCCTCTGAGGCTGAGAGACTGTGACTTTCCCATGGTCACCCAGTGGTTTTCATGGCCATGCTGGGAATCAAACCCTGGTCTCCAGAGTCATAATCTAACAGTCAAATCACTATACCACACTGGCTCTACATGTCCTAGAATACAATACCCATTGCCCTAAGCCTGCTTATCTACACATACTGGCTGGGGATGATGGGCGTTGCAAGCCACCCCACCCAGGGTATGTCATGCTGGGGAACTGAAAACTTTGTAGACAAGTTCACTGCAAACTCTGGGTCTTTACTGAACATTCTTGAGGCTATCATAGAATCATAGATCATAGAATCATAGAATTATAGAGTTGGAAGAGAC